GGGGGGGGGGGGGGGGGGGAGGGAGTAAAGACTACGGAACGTCACATTAAATGGTATAACTTATAAATACGGATGTGCGTGACTATCCACTTCGTTTGTACTCGTGACATTTGTTTGTACATTTGGCAGCATTTGATGACAATTTTTGAGTTTTAACACAGAGTTTTGTGTTAATCAAACTGTTAATTTTGAAATATTTATTTTTTTAAAAATGCAACTTTTACCAAACAAAATTATAAAATCATTAATTTGATATTATGTACCTAAAAATTATTTATATCTTAAAACAATATTTTAGCGTGTAGTGTAATAATTATTACCCACGATATGGTTATAAGCTATTTTTTTATTTTATGCGTCGGCAAAGAGGGAAGTAATTCCACGTGTTACGTGATATTGGAAAGGAGCAGATGCTTTGTGACGAAGAGGAGGGCGGGAAAAACAAAAATATTCAAATTTATAATTGTCGAGTGGTTTGACAAAAAATACTCGGGTTCGAGGTAGGGACTTCCCCCCCCCCATCCCCCATTATAAATACTCGAAGAGAGTATGTACCCACCGTGCTCATCAGGACCAAGATGTAACTGATCAGGCCGCTGCCGTGATAATCCACCATTTTCTTGTCGGCCACCACCATGATCTCGATGAAGTATTCGCGCGGCAATGCTCGCCGTGGTCTCCACGTTACGAAAGGATCTGTCTCCATCTCCGAGTCCTGAGAGTACTCTCCGTTCTGATAGCTGTGTTCACGCGCACTGCGGTATCTAGAATTCACAATACGCACGTCAGGAACGCAGTTATTATGCGGTTAAATATACGACCGACTCGCTCAACGAGCTTTTCCCTCTTTTCGCTCGATCATACATCGGTCGATACCTGTTGTCGCGATCCTGCTCCTCGAAGAAAGCCCGCCGATACTCGCCCTGCTCCGTGAAACTCCGCTCGTATTCCTTCTCCTCCTCCTTGGAGCGTCCCAGGGACGCGGTTCTCCGCGTCAATGATCTGCGCTCCCGCGGACGCTCCCCGACGTAAATCTTGCGAGCGGAACTATCGTCCGTTAGCGGGGAAGGGCTGTCGTCCAAGTCGTAATCTGTCGACATCATAACGCTGATCACGATTATGTAACAAGTCGTAATATAGATTTCTTTCACGAGATATTTCCAGAAATAGCCTATCAATATTATCTATAACGTTGATATCCTGTCTTAGCGGATAAAACGTTACACTTCACGCGCATTTTATTACACGTCTCACTGTTGTTGCACTCGATTCGAGCACATTTTACGTCAGACGGAAACGTTGCGGAATTCCCCCGTCACACCGATTGTTACAGAAAGCCGTGGGTTTCTCAAGCCATTTTCATTTTTTGTGCGAAACCCTTGCGCGCGTGCGCGCGTGAAAGAGAGAGAGAGAGAGAGAGATACCAGACGAGTGTTGCGAGCGACATGCACTTTCACCCGATCGAAAATACCGTACACATCGCGTAACTTTCTAGCGATTATCGAATGTCTTACGTCTCTTACGGCGAAAAGAACGCGTTGGTAATTTGCATTGCGGAGGTGTGAGGTGAAAAAAATGATCGAGTGCATATTATCCTGCATCGCAAGGCGGCTTCTCATGCCCCGCTATCGTCGACGACATCCTCGTTATCTCATTACCGCATCGCAATCATCGTTTATTAAACGTTACATATAAGTGAAAGTAAAATTACTAAGAGGAGAGGAGATACAGCAGGAATTACACGTAATAGTCCGCGGGGACCATTCATATTTCTAAGCGTCGCGACCACGATCGAGTGAATAAATGGACTTTCGAGTCGCGTGACTTCACGAAGTCCGTTCAAGCCGGCCGATCCGCCGTGATCGAGTATCCGCGTAATAATTCGCTTCTTTTTCGCGATCCGGAGAGAGAAAAAGAGAGAGAGAGAGAGAGAGGAAGGGCCCGAGTCGACTTGGAAGTTAATCAGGGTACCCGTTAGCCCGAGACGCGATCGCACCGAGTCAATGACTTTTGCATATCGGAGAATCGATCGTCGGAGATCGCTAGAGGCTCCACGGGCTTAACGAGAACCACGTAATCGGCGCGTGCCGTCTGTCTGCATTTCCCGGCACGCCTCGTCGCATAGCTACGTTACTTCGCCTCGATATCTCGAGATCCTGATAACAAAGGAGTCGCAGTCTCGATATTTCGGACTCTTCGTCTCACTGAGTCTTGCAAGTCTTCTGTTTCTTTATATTTTATTATAAGAAAAATTCGTTCCTTCCAAGGATAACGTGGACGGAAAGTGATGCATTTTTCCCGGTGAAGGAATGAACAATATTTTTCACTTCGAGGAGAAGAAGAAAAAGAAAAACGGAGAAAAATCTCAGTTCCTGCAACTGGGGACCGGATGAAAACTCGAGAGCGAGAAATGATATCTCTGTTACCGTGACTGAGAACATTCGTGCGAACATTTCGTTTTAAAACAACTGAGAACGATTGACCGAATAAGAACTTCTTGCACAGAGAAAAAGATCTTCCTGGATTTAATAAAGTTTCCTTTAATTAATTTAAACAAACTTATCTTTTGGAATGGAGCAAACAAATGAATGTTTGATTGAGCAAATAGGATTTTTGATTATCAATATCATCAATAGCAATAAATATCTCTTTACGTCAAATAATATGTTTCTTTTATATTTTCATCCCAACGTTACAATAGTTGTCACAAGTAATAAATTGTTTAAAAGAAGTAATACTATGTTAGATAAAATATTAAAGAGTTTTATTTTTGTTTCAGTGGAACAACATATATATAATACAATAACATAAATGTTTCTTTCATTGAATATTATTTTTTTTTTCCAATTAAATATTATTTCCTCCAAATAATACTGTTCTTCCTATCAGATAATATGGTTCAGTGGTTTACTTTACAACATTTTCATTCTAACAAAGTGATATTTAATATTAAATTATGTTGTTTATACGTTAGATAAACTCAAGTCAGACAAACACGTATGCCAAATCCAGAGAAGCCTTTTTCCTTCTTATGCACAGGAATCTTTTTGTTCATACAACCGAGTTGTCATCTGCCCCCCCCNCCCCCCCCCCCAGCAAAGCAGAATTCCGCTGCAAAACTGTTTTTTTCCGTGTATCATACGCAAAGGCGAGAAGAATCTTTTTTCGCTACTTTCGCGTGAGAAAAAAATTATCCGCCACTGGTTTTGATAGTGATTAATTGATCAACGCCCAATTGATATCGTATCGCCGCGCGAACGGACCTCGAGGTTGACGTTATTTTTAAAAGATCGCATCTCGCGCGACCCGGAGCGATACACGAAGAGATGAGAATATTTGGACAGTGTATCGTCGACGACGTCGTTTTGTAGGCAGAGAGTACCGCGCGTCGCCAAGCTGTCTCGATGGTACATCAGAATCCGCCCGAGGAAAAACGTAAATGCCTGAACCTGTTTCGGTAGAGGTGGTCGGTGCGGGTATACGCTGAATGAAAAAAGACACGATGCCTTCTCTCCTCTCTTCGAGTGCTCGTGTGCGCGCGCGCGCGCACATGAACACGCATTTCACGTCGAAGCCAGTGTGTCGAGTTCATGCGCCTGTGTGGTCGCGCGCAAACACGGAAGAATTTATTATTTACTTCATTATATTAAGGCTCTCGGGACTTCGATCGCTGAGGAGTGTCGAGCCAACGAGACCAACCACGCAGGATTTATTAGTCACGAATAGTGTTATATCTGCGGAAGGATAACAACGTCCAACCGAAGTGTCGCACCGTCATCCCGCGTGGGGCTCTCTCGTTGGCCCAGATATTTCTCCTGGACTTATTTATGCAGACTCGTGTCTCAGTTTATCGTTTAGCGTTTCACTTGCAGCGGCACGGTCGATATGTCCGCATACACGAAATCGGCAATGTCGTGCCCCGATCCTTCCTACGCGGTGAGAATGCCGCGAATGAAATTAGTTACAAATGCACGAGTGAAAGTTGACTCACCTATCACGCCGCAGTTGCGATTCTTGACTTCGTCCTCGGTGATATCGAAAGCGGTGTCTTCTTTGAAGCTGGACGACGCCGACGCGGGTACACGGTAGATCGCGTGCTGCAGCGAGGACCCGAGGGAGTCCTTGTCATCCTCGCGCCAATGCTCCGTGGGTTTGATGAAGTAGCTTCCCATCGACGTCTTCATGTGACCGGTCTGAAAAAATTGTAATCAACATTCGAATCGCGATACATTACAATGATCGCGCTCACTCGACCTTCAAAATCAATCATCTTCCAGAGTCCCCGATCAAAATTCTATCAATTCTGTCGATTGAAGCCGATTTTACAATAGCCGTAAAAGTAGGTTATAAGCAAATATATATATATATATATATATAGTGCAAGAATTTCAACCGATTAAAAAAAAAAATGCATTTTATACTACAACTACCAAATACGCGCATCTTGTACTTTCGCTTGTCGATTAAAAGCTTCAGATGCCTCTCGTCGAGAGACAAATCGATTGCAAATTGACCACGAGAGCGATCTACAATGAAGAGAACACTCACTGGTTTCGCGAGATACTCTTCCGCACGAGAATAGTTCCCGCTAGTAATATCTTCGACTTCCAGCGTGGTCTATTTAGGGATCAGTTGTACCCCGACATTGCACTATGTGAGAACTTCCTCGATCCGAGCATATTATGCGGCAGGAGCAGCCAAGAGAGTACGCTCCCGCTAAATATAATCCGCCTACGTACATTCCGCGGGCAAATCCGGGGGAAAGACGCGGCCGCCACGGATGTGCACGAGTATAGACGAATCAATGGGGAATTCGTTAATGCCGAAACACAATGCAAATCTTCCAGAGAGGAGCGACTCCCTCGCCACTCGAGATATCGCGCGTCAGAAACTAAAACCTGCAAACGAACGCGACATACGCTGTGTGTCGAACGACAAATCAATCGATAATTCCCTCTCTAAAAAAATATGCTGTCTCAAAAATCCCGAATGCACCGAAACGTCGATTCCGACTGTGAATCGTTGTTCACTTCGACAAAGATATGTCATTTTCTCGTCAACAAATTTCAGCCTAATTTTGCCGCTAATTTAGTTAAACGAACTGAGATTTTTTCCGCATAATAGCACCAAGATAAATAACGCGCGCGTAGCGCGGGTCTGTGCTGGTCTAGTAGTATTGAAAAATACAAAAGAAAACAAATAATGTTACACCGGGTAAAATTAATCCGAAACTGTGAGAATCCACGAGTTGAAGGAAAGTACAGCTGATCATCCTGGACATCCTGTGCATTCGCCTGTACGCGCTCCGGTGGCGCGCCAAAAAAAAAAAGTCGAAAGTAAATGCACATCTGCGACGTCGCTATTTCTCTCTTTGCCCGACGGGAATGTCGAAGGATTAATAACGATTCACCTCGGGAGGCTCATAATTGAGCTCGTCTTTGACGAAGACGGTCACAGCACGACGGTCACGAGACGGGGTGAGCAGAGGGGTGGTAATCGGTCCGGCCGAGGGGAAAGTCGATCTTATTAATTAGCGTCCCTAATTACGGGAAATTCAAGCTGTCGTCGGGATCACGGATCACCTGTCGACTGCTCTAATGACACACCACGCTTCGTTACGGGAGTTACGGTGAAACTGGCTCAAGCAATACAGGGATACTTACCGATTATCAACGCCGCCTTAAGCTCGTGTTGCATTACACCGCGTTGCGGACGCGGATTGGGTTCGAATTGCGAGCTGCGAATCGTCAATTATCCGACGGATATCTTCAGCTATTTCAATCCGACCAGGCTGGTACATGATTCGCAATCCGAATCCCATCCGCAATATACGGTGTGATAAGGGCTTTAACGCGACTCGCGCGCTCCACGTAATTTCGATGTACCGCGGGCGAACACCGCACGGTTCGTTGCCTTCTAATTTACGATGGATCGAACCTAAAAGTTGTTCACACCGTTCTGCCTGTTAGACGCGTGTCTACATACACCTATGTGACTATCGCTTTCGTAATCGATTCTGTGTTATATATCGTAAAAAGTTGCGTATATTAGATGTAAGAAAGAACCTGTGTTTTGATGACGGATTTGATTTTACACGAGCGAAAATTACCTCCCCGCGAGAGGGTTTTACATTTTATATATATATTATATATTACTATTGCTACTATTATTATTTGCTGTGATGTTAAGCTTCCTCTTAGAGACGATATTTTTATAAAACTGTTCTTCATTGTTTTCAAATAGTGTGTTTGTTTGCTTTCCTTCTTTCGTTTAGATTCTTTATAACTTTCCCATCACTCATCATTTTCGATATGTCACTGCCCACACTAAGAAATGTTATTATTAATCATTTGAACGGGTCTATTTAATTTATCTTTATCTTTTTCTGCTTTTACTTGTCTTTTTCCTCTCTCTCTTGTATAATATTTTAGTTCTCCTATTTTCTTGCGCATAGTTTTCCCTTATATTGTTAACAATATTTTGTGATAAAGAGACTTATTTTCACGTAAAAAGGACGAAATAAATAGATGAAAAATCTCATTATTGTTTTGTGGACGGCTTTTGTTTTGGTGTGTCTGTGATTTTTTGTATTGCTTATATATTGTTTTTGGTGAGCTGGATTACGTGTTTCATAACTTATTATTATATATATTATCGATTAATCCATAATTATAATGCTCTGATACAGTGCTCACGAGATCCGCCTGTTAAAGTTATTTTAGAAACAACTTACAAGATTTATGCGCGATCGATTTTGCACCTCTCATGCATGTTTTCATTAGCAGCGTTTCTGTCTTTCGAAAAACAATCGATTATTTCCGCCCTGCCAAGCGCAAGTCGAAAATCGCCAATTCAGAGTAAACTTTCACCGAACAAGGATTCAGGATCACGTTGAAGTTATTTATAAGTGCGATGTTTCACATAATTGACGGAATATTACATGTTACGCGTTTACGTGAAATAACAGACGATTCGATTCCCGTTTATTTTCAGTCACGACGACGTATACAGATGCTATTAGAAGAACGCTATTTACAAACAAAGCGCCGTCCGTTGTTATCCTATCTGCTAACACCGATATGTTAACACCCTGATTAAACATTCTAACGGAGATGGACCCTCCCATTTATTTGTTTTTTCGGAATGCGGAGATTCTCGACACTTGTACACGTGCGCCGCGAAGGGAGCGAATACCGACGATGATCTGCTTAAAATATTTACAGCCCGAAAACAGCTCTTTAATATAGGTAAGTTACGTTAAGTTACATCTCTCTCTTTCTACGCATTACTAAATCATTATTTTATCGGGAGTTGCGGTGCGACAGGTTCGTCGCCTTATCTATTAAACATCAACTCGTAGAAAGACACGAATTTGAATATTAAAAACTTTCATTCAAATCATCATCCCTCGAATTTAATTTTCAGCGCTGGGGAGATGCGTTGGATTAACGTGGCTTATTAAAAACTATGTACAGGAAAATCTCGTTAGGTGTCTAGAAAAAAGTCGACATTGTGCATTTTACTCAGAAAGATCGCTAATATCTCGGAATCAAGTGACTCTGTCTTCGATTTTACTCGACAAACACGACAAGCTTTTTGCCAGTAAAATCTCAGCTCGTCCGTTTCTCGCCGGGTTAAAATTTTATCAACAACGTGCCGGTGCTAAAAAGCAAACATTCGAGGTGATGTTCTCTCGCTACTTAACTTCCTCGTACCATGTGTGGATTGTGTATGTGTGTGTGTGTATGTGAGTGAAGAGTTTTCCTTCCCGCGTACACATAAGCACGGAGACTCGCGTCCACCCACTGCCCTCCGTTCCACGTTTTCCTCTTCCTTATCCACTCCTGCTGCACGTTCCTCTCGTTTTACCCTTTTGGTAGCGAGCCCGCAAACGCTTGGGTAAACCCGCAAACGCTTGAGTAAACCCACAACGCGCCTTGGGATCTGTCGTTCAACGTCGAGTCATAAGTCTACCGCCAGCCGCGTCGGTGAGACGCGCTCACTCGGCGCGCAAACCGAGAAATTCGTCGGTGCCGAGCGGGTTCGGCGGGATAGCGAAGAATCGAGGAGGCTCGACTTGCGCCACGGCTGCGAGCAATCGGACCTCGCATCGCGGCTCGTCCGATTCGTTCGCGATTTGCATTCTCGCAGGCATGCACCTTCCCCCGCGCGCGCGGCTATTCCGCGGCACAAAGAACGACTTGACGGATACCGAGAACTCTCTCGCGAGCTCGGAACGCGTCGTTTTTCCCTATCCGCTTTTTTCCTTCCCCTCGCCTCTATATACGCCTTTATCTCGCTTTCCCATCCTCGCCCTTCTCCACCTTCTGCAAACACCCACCTTCCGTTCCGCCTCTGTTCGACCAGCATATCAGCCGTGCGGTAATCATCCGAAGGAGGAGAAGCTCGTCTCTCCCCCGACGAAAAGAGCCGGAGCTAGTTCGCGAAATTTTCCAGTCGATGGCGAGGAGCCCCGTATCGACGGTGTATAAATTCGTCATTTCGGGGAAGATAATTCAGGATTATTCGCAAACAGCATCCCGTCCGTTCAAACACGAGGCTTGCTCGGCTCGAAATTTATCGGCAAACGGCGAGGAAGGAATCACCGAGGATCCGCCGTTCCGAAGAATCCGAGTCGAGAGCGTGGTCGAGAGCCGATAGGCGTAATGACGACGATGCTAACTTTGAAGGCGCGGTTACGAGGAAACGGCCGTGGTATCGTGAACAAGTGTACTTGTTGGCCCGCAAACTCTGCCGGGAGGGGCGCAAAAGTGATGCTGACCGCGTGTCGTTCGCGGCTGCGCGCTCGTTTGAGAATTCGCTAGTCGTTATTTCGGTTCGCGCGCTCCCGTAAATCCGCGGTTTACGCTGCAACGCTCTCTCGACGGAGTGACGGGGGGAAAACGCCGAGAGGGAAAAGAAGAGACGCGATGATACCGAGAAAAAAAAAAACATTTCGAACGATGTTACCGAGAAAAGTGTGTGCAAGGCGTCCGTGCGCGCACGTTTCGCATGCAGAGAGCCGGCCGTTAAATTAAAGACGGCCGGAGCATCGGGCCCACGAACGAGAGTTATCTTTATTTAGGTTCCGCTTAATACGCAGAACATAATACATCATAATAAAAGGTGACTGTGGGTTGTAACATACACTCGCGCGCGCGGCCTGCATTTAAGAGGGGCAACGACGACGGGCCCCGCGGTAATTCGATACAGAAACGCGGTCTGAACGCCGTGACGTGAATTCGAGGACTTCTGATTCATGTGGAGTCCGTGTAAAGGAAAAGAAAAAAAATAAGAAATCGAAAAAGAGATAACGCGAGAGAGGATTTCGTTAGATCGATCAGTTTCGATCGATCAGTCTCGTTGCCTTTTTGCGTGCACACATATATTCGGGTGTATTCATCAATTTCATCGCTGCGACTCTCTCGGGCAGGACAGCGAGCAGAAGGCTCGATGAAGGAGAAATTTTCTCCAAGGATTTCAGCGAAAAGAGGACCCACCGTGCGCCGCCTCGTTATTTTAAACACGCTAATCGACCGGGAAAGGGAAACGAGCGGAACGAATCGAGCCCAACGTACGCCGACTTGTATTTCTCTCTTTCTCCCCGAGACGTCCGATCGGTATCCTTGTTAAAGTGGCCGCACGAAATGTCATCGCGGACGAAATATTTCTAATTAATTCCGCCTATTATATTACACATTTCTGCCAAGGTCGCCGGGTCGAATTGAAACTGGTCGTACCGGCTCGAACTCGCGGATTTAGCGTTCTCCCCGATGTGCCGCGTCACGTTGCACCGCGCGTGCCGAGAAAAACAGCACATCCAGTTCGCCGTTGCCGGAAATCGTTCTTCGGAAAAGTTTATGACGCCCGGTCGGAATAAAGAGACAACAAGGCCCGAGTGCCGAAGGCCGAAGACGCGTCTCGAGTTAGTTTCAGCGCCGCGACGCCGCTCTCGCGATCTGCGCGATCGCCCAGGAATATGTGGCTCTTTGTTGCGCGAGCTATATAAAACCATTCTCGAAACGGAGGACAACTCCGAATGAAGTTTTAATCCGAAGCGGAGATGTGTGCGACACTCGGAGAATTGAGAAGACGCGATAAACAATGGCTTGCCCCAAGATAGTCTCGTTGAGGAGGAATGATCTCTAAATTAAGATCGAGCCAAATAAAGAAGATATTCTGAAAGTATAAGTTCTTGTTTCGCCGCAATAATTTTGCCTGGAAACGTTCCGAGTCGTCAATCCGTGCCTGTAAAAAAGTTGATGTCTAGACAGTAAATCTGGCGTGAGCGTGCGCGCACGTGTGTGTGTGTATAAACGCGTGTGTGTACGAACAGCCGAAGCGATGTGTATACACAACGAAATGGTCCGAGGAGTGTGAATCACTGCCTAGGATATCCCGTATTTCCTTACTTTCGTTCTCTTTTTTCCTCGTCTTCTAGACAACGCTAGTTTACGCATCGGATGGGAATTCCGTGGCGAAGTTCCACCTACTTGTCCAGCTCGTAATTTACCGGGATTATACACGAAATGTATATTTTTGACTAGTCAAATGTTTAAAATCGTGCACAGTCAGATAATTCTTCTTTTCTCTCTCTCTTTTTCTCTCTCTTTCTCCCTCTCCCTCTCTCTCTCTCTCTCTCTCTCTCTTAAGATATCCGTTTTGCTTAATCCGCCGATCAGGAGATATTTAAAAGAGAAGATGAAAATTAACCGCAACACATCCGACAGAGATCAGGATGCTTTCAGCAGAGACGGGTAAAATTCTAATCGGGAAGTCGCTCGAGACACTCATCGTCGCGTTGACGACGTCATGACGGCGTTGTTTTGCGCTCCGGCAGAGTACAGAAAAGATAAATCGAGACAATATACGTATATCTCGATTGATCGAAATCACGTTTCCTTGGTCTCTCATAAGTGACGATCGGGGACACGCATCTCTCGGCGATGATCGGTGTAATTTTAAAGGAACCATTCCGTGCGTCGTGAAGCGTGCCGAAAAGGTCAACATCGAGAAAAGGCATGGGGGCGACAAAAAGAAGAGGGATAGATATCGGAAAATAATAATAAACGGAGGGAGGGAGAGCTCAGCCACCAAGTGACGTATCCGGACGCGCGAGATAGCGGCCGAGATTCGCTGTGTCTCGCGCAGGGTCGAGTAATTAGGTCGAGTGGCTCGACGCGCTATCGAGAGTAGAAACATCAAGGCTTGACTCCGCGGGCTCGCTTCTTCCTATTTCTACGGCTACTGAACAGACGGCCGATTGACTGCTCTAACCTTGCCGCGGCTAAATTAAAGCATGACCCAAATCGCACGCGTAGAACAAGTATGAAACAAGCGAAAAATAAATTCTAGTCCATTCTCGCCAGCTCGTTGCCTTTTCCGTGGAACTTGCTCGCGAAGGAGCGCTCGCCTCTGCCGGTCTCCGTCGAAAAAGGAAGATCTTGACCAACGGACCTTAGGTAAAATCCCTCCCGCGTGATTGAGCGCGCTCGCACGCATGTACGCGTGTGTGTGGGCACGCAAAAAGAGCCTTTTTATTTTCCCCGATAAACCATTCGTCTCGATGCTTCCGCGACATTTCGCAAAGCGGGATCCCGACCGGCGAGGGGAACACTGGGGCGGCGAACGCGTCTACCGGGTGTCCAGCGAGAGAAGAGACGTGATATACGAGCCGTCCGTGCAATAAATTCGCTTTAGAGCGTCGCAAATAATTCTCGCTCTCTCTAACACCTCTTGATATAAAATCCAATCGCCTGGCGCGCCGCCGTTTCCCATGGAGCGCGTCCCGAGGCTGGCGCGGATGACCGCGGCGGTTACCTCGCTGAACGGAGCCCGCGAAGACGATTCGCAAAAGGTGTTTCTCATGTACGGTCGAGCCGTCGTGTTTCTCCCTCCTCCCCCCTCTTTCTCTTTCTGTCGCTTTCTTTTCAGAATCGAGTAGCTTTCGCGAACGGATTCGCGAGACGCGGCGATTCACAATCGATCGTGCGCGGCGATGCCACAAATCACGTAAAGCGCGTGTACGCGGTTTCACGGCGTGCACGCAGCACGAGACGGCCGGCGGTTGCTCACTACGGAGACGGAGGGCCACGCTGCGAACCTTGAACCTATTTTTTGCGGGCAACTATTTTCAGACATCCCCGCGTACCGTGAAACAGGCGTCTCGGTCCGTCACATTCGCACCAGTCGCGCGTTACTCCGGTTCATTTTTTTTCTTATTTTTTATTCGGCCTCATTGAGCGACGGAAATCTCATCCGACTGAGGTGTCGCGTGGAAGAAAGCGCGACTGGAAAAATCCCCTCGAGTCCGCTCTGCGCGAGAAACGTTCTCGGACACATTGCCGGAGTCGTGCCGAATAAAACGCGGTGTCTTTTACGAGTACGCGATCGCGGTTTTTACGCGCGTCCTTCCGTCTCATGGCGGGAAAAATGACGAATAATCAGAGGAAAGAGCCGCCCCGCGCGTTCTATTTTCGCGTCAAGGAACAATAAGCGTTTCGACGGCTGCTTCCGATTTTACGACAGCGTAAAGTTACTTTACGTACGCGCGCCTGGATGAAAAGGTCGCGGAGAACGGACGACACTTTTCTTTCTTTTTTTTTTTTAATATCGCTGCCTTTCAGCTTTCCACGCGGGCGATGTGCGAACGCACAATCGTAGCACCACGGCGGATCGTAAATACCCATGGAATTCCGTGAATCGCAATGCAACTACGCAGTACCGGCCATGATATTTACGACCGGTGTGATTCAAGAGACGTTTCGAATTTTATTCTCGCAGTTCACCGAAGAGAGACCAGCCTGTGTCTGCATTCTTGATTTTTCGGTGCTGCCTGGAGAAAAGCCGGACGCGGCCAATGAACAAGAGAGAGAGAGAGAGAGAGAGAGATATGCGCACATGCCTGTCATTTTAATTATTATAATAAATATCGCAAGCCGAATACACGTAAAGAAACATCTCTCTCTCTCTCTCTCTTTCTCTCTCTCTCTCTGTCTTTCTCTCTCGTTAATTTCAAAATAATTGAAAAAAATAATAATATATGTTGTAAATTCAAATAAAAATTTCAAATTAACTCATTTCCCGATAGCTTTCACAGCGACGCTATCTGCGTCTTACAAAAATGTCGCACGCAATACCGAGGATCCAACATATCTGTGACACCGATAACAATAATAACCGATATCGACGTAACAACAGTCCAAAGTATATGTTTATATCGGCCGGTAGGAAATATAACATACAATATTATATTTAGCCGCTTAGACGAGCGGGAACTTTATGTTAATCGATTACTCGCGCCACAATGGAACACAGGCTCGGGCAGATTTATCATCCTTGGAATCGATCGGGATTAACTGCGCCGCGCCACGCGAATAAAGAATCACGAGGCGACGTTTTCTAAAGCTTAATATCTCTGACTCACCATTCCGTGACAAAGGCTGACACTGACCGCTGAACTTGGATCTCCATCGACCGAACCGCTGTAGAAGCAACCCAAGTGGTGACCCGCGTGCTCCCTCCTGGTCGTGTTCTCGCTCATATGCGTCACCTGCGTCGTCATAATGCAAAAGCTAATTAGCGTCGTCAATTAAGTAGCGAAATGACTTGCCAAGATCACGCGATCTCAGCTCATTTCGCTTTGACGCGCATCCTGCCCCCACTCTTTCACATAGATATCCACAGGACGGCCGTCTAACTCGGATTACATACCCCATCGAACTGGGGATGCAACGAACGATACATCACATCGATACAACGTCGTCGATCATCGTAGATCCTTACTTTTATGTCGGGAGACACGAAACTGGCGTCGTGCGCTAATCGCAAGCGAAATCGCTTGCCGAAGGCAGTAAATTCGTACTGCGGATGCGGGTCCCATACTTCGGCCGACGTATGCCGGAAGTGACCGCTGTGATGTCTCTCCGCCGTGGAAAACTCCTCGGCTGTGAACAAGAGAGTTCCCTTTCAAGCAGCACGGATCATTAATTACGTGTAGATATTTCAGACCGGGCCGGAAAGGAAAAAAGGGGAGGAGATACAAAGTGACGCGCGGATAAAAACAGACACGTCGCGACAAATGTGACACTTACGCGGATCTTCGTATTGATTTTGGCTAATTTTCAAGGGCTTCACGTACTCCAGATTGTCCTTAACGGGCGGCAACACATCGATCGAAGTGTCGTTGTACCTCTTCGTGTCTTGCGTTTCCTCAGAGAGTACTGTAATAAACAAGATAATCCAGATGAAATAATGAGAAAATTAACGAAGGAACGAAAACATTAAAAAATTTTAAAAAAAAGGAACAATTTAATATAGAAGAACATTTTCTGTATAAAAAAAAAACGAATTTCTCACGAACCAGGTTCCGTGTTCGCATAGATCAATTAAAGAAGGTATACTTTAACAAGATCTCAAAGCAACGTGTTTTCTGCAATTTCTCGAATTAACATACGTACGACAAGACAAGCGTTTCAACGAATCGAGGACGCTCGGAGTCGGACAATACGAAGTGGATTTCTCAAGTAACGATTTCTTCAGATAACAATATTAACATAACTCGCTGAAGAAGGACAGGACGCCACTTTACGTGCCGCTAATTACCTGCCGGCTAAACGAGCTGATCGACCGGTATAAACTGAACAACTGTGCACGCGTAACGATCAAGTAGGCACGTTCTACGATTTCTCTGGCGAGCCGCCGATGCAATCCAGCCTGGCTCCGACAGTTCTTTTACGCGATCACGTATCGAGCCCCGCGCCACGATCAGAGAGGGGGTGTCGGTATTCATTAATCTAGATTTAACGCAGGAACGCTCGTGCAAAGTACGACGAGCGAGAGACCTTGGGGAGATTGTTCGCGGAACAGCGACCATCGCTTCTCGCGCCTAATTATATCGGGCTTACCTACAACGCAATGGCCACAGTGGTGCGCCACGTCTGGAGAGGAACACATAGCGCACGCACGGTTCTATAATTACGCACGACAGTTTTCGCGAGACGAGTATCGAATGTCGGTTCCGAATCCCGAGTCGAGAGATAACCGCGGAACATCTTACGGCTAGGTGTCACGACACAAATGTACACACACCGCGGTTTGTATTGGCTATGGTTTCTATGAAAAAAAATCTAAACGTTGCAACTCGAGTAGTAAAGCAATCTACCGTTCGTTGAGAATTGTACGAACCTACATCATAAAGGAGTTGAGAATTAAAGCCGACTGTCATTTCGAATTACATGCGTAATTTTAGATTACATATTAACAATAAAAAATAATACAATAAAATATGATTTAAATNTATATATATATATAAACTGTTTCGATGAAAATACATGGTGTATCGGTATATATATTTAATGTTTTGTTAATCATCACGTTTTTATCTCCCTTTCCATTTTCTTCTCCACATTCCTGTAGGAATACATTCCCAGGCGAGTTATTTACGAAAGGAAATAAAACGAAGGAAAGACATTTCAACGCTATACGGCCACGGGTAACACCATAAAAGATTACGGAACAAAGGGATACCGTGTCGTGCCAGAGGAGATTAAGCCTAGTTACAAAATGTGAACACGTGGGCGACCGCGGCTGAGAATATGCATGTTCAACGTTGCACAATTCTAGAATGGTACGCGGATACTCGCAGGTAGAAGAGAGGATTTGTGAGACGAACCTACATCGTAAAAGAGAATATTCTTCTCTGGAAAATTGAAATATTTCGATTGCGCGATCGCTACTTTATTTATCTCCACCAATTGTTGCGACATTTTCAGTAATAAATTTTACGCGGATCCCATGGATTTTTCATCGAAACCGCGAAAATCAGGTTTTAGCGCAAGACAATCAACGAGAAGTGTGAGCCGCGAACGGTCGAAAGAACGAGTCCGATAATATTTTATAGTTGTACGTACGAAACAGCAAATTTGAGAGCTTGATACGCGACGCACAATTATTTATAACAAAATCACATGTAAGGCAATGTGTTAGACACGGCGCTTAATACACAGTTTAAGAGACCTTCGTTTATTTACATGCTAGTTTTCTTCGATACCAAGGAGGAATAAAAAGCATTTAGAGGCTATTCCGATTGATGCATTGCGATATCGCAATCTCATCCTTCACGATAACTTACATAATAAGTATATGCGACTCGCTGAAAACGCAATACGTTCCTCTGGCCATTTTTTTATAGATATCATAGCACGATTTACGGTCGCAATATAAGGTACTCAAAATACCACGACGGGGACAAAGATTGTGAAAGCGCGTCAACGTGTTCTCGTTGGCAATGACGAAGTGCTATCGCCGAGCCGGCACGTTTTAACGATCTCTATCATCAACCGGCTAAACCGTAAAGCGGAAAGCCGTTTTTACACAGGGGTTCGCGATCTTTGTTGCACCCGCCATCCACGCCGATAATAAACGATCCGTCAACGACTATCAATCATGGATAAGTGCTTACAGTTGAATCTATTAACGTATTTTAATGCCAAGTTCCTTTGGCTTTCTACGTTACATCTTCGTTGATCGTGCGACGATTCATCGATATGAGAGCGATACATGTCACGAGCATATGTGTGTGTGTGTGTGTGTGTGTGTGTGTGTAGGTGTGTGTGTCGCCGTCTCTTTAAATTTCTTGCGGCAAAATCTCACTCGAGAAACAGAATGATCGGGTCACTCGAAATCGAGTGATTGTTCGCTCATTTACAGCGAATTCTTCACTCTGAATGGTTGTTTTTGCTCGAAATGGAAAAGTGACGGCGTTATGCTGTATCATTTCGTAGATTGAAACTTTTACTATTATACAATTCTTCGCCTTTCACGTATACATATAAGATTGAAACTATTACAATTAGAGTCATTGTAACTCTACTATTATGATTAAAGTTATTTTTGCGACTTTCAACATGCGTTACGCGTAAGGCTGAAAATCGTGTAAGTCTCCGTCTAAGGAATGATATAATATACATGACGTCGATTGTACTCTATTGATTTTGCATAGGAACATATTCACTCCAGCGATTTCGAGTGGCAATATTTTCACTAGCGCTTCGAGCGAAAATATTGTCGCTTTTCATTTGTTTCGAATGGGACTCCACCATAGAGATATAAGAATAGAGAGAACAAGGGATATATGCTACCTGTAAGTGGAAGTGATAGAGGTAAAGAGAGAGATGGATGCCGAGTGTCCTATCTGTCTCTTTCTAGTTGAGCGCTGTGATTGGTTGTTACAATGAGCCGCCAAGACGACCACGCGACGTCAGGAGGGGAGAAAGCAGACTAAAATTTCGTTTTGTAAATATGCGTGCACATGTGTGTAGAATTAAAATTCGTTAAATATTCGAACGTTAACAAAATAATAATTGGACGCGATTTGTTTAAAAATGAGGCATTGTTTGAAATGCAAGGCGGAGTCTTATCCTGGATGTAACCGCAGTTTTCACTCGTAAGAAAGTACAAATACGTAACCTCAAATAATTATATGTTATTTTTTCCTACATTAAAAAAAATATGTAAATGTTGTAGACTACCGAAGGATGTAGATATAAGGCGTAAATGGTTGAATATACTTTAACTACCTTTGTATTTTGAAGTGAAAACAGCATATATTTGCAGTGATCATTTTAACAATGACAGTTTCTTTGAATTGGATGGAGAAAAATGTATAGCTATATCGTCGTTGGCGCGGCAGCCAATCCCAGCGCGTGACTAGAAAGAGACAGATAGGACACTCGGCATCCATCTCTCTCTTTGCCTCTATGACTTCCACTTACAGGCTTGTTCCCTCTATTCTTATATCTCTATGGACTCCATCCTAAGAAATTCAGAGGTGCGAACGTCGAGGCATTTTTACAATATCCAGAGGACGTAGATCCGCGTATAGCAGCAATCTATAATAGAACGCGCGGCCTGGTTACGTCAATAATAGGATATACGCGAAAAGGATGTTTAGCGACGGGATATGTAACTAATTCGATACATCGGCGCGGTGTTTGGGTTTTCGGCACGTTGTGCGATTGTTTATCACGGAACAGCGAGGAACCAATAGTAATTATCCATTTCGACTCCGCAGGCTTGGGATTTAGCCGTGATATTTCTGAAAATATCGTGGAAACGTGCCAGACGGCGCCAACCCTTTCGAGGGAACAACAGGTTCGCCTCGCGCCTTTACTGAAACTCGCGAAAGGTACTCCCGTGCGACAGTAACAATAACTGTTTCTGCTTGTACGTACGTTCGAGAGGAAACGCTTTTGAGAAAACAACGTAGTAACTATAGATATCCACCATATTTCCAGTTTCTAAGTGAATTGGAAGGCGGCAAGAACAAAGGCTGGACTAAAAATTTTTGTTGACATTGAGCATGGATAGCTGAACAGAAATGCACGCGTGTGTGTGTGAAAGAAAAAAAAAAAAGAGAGAGAGAGGGAGACATGCAACGCGAAATATCGAGCTTTCGAGATCTCGAAAAACGGAGATCGGAAAACGAAAGAGCTCTGTAGCAAGTGAAATGAAAATCGGTCGGTCGTAAAATCGAGTCGTTAAGACGATGACACGTGTACAACGCGAGCTACTGTTTCCCCTTTGGCGGAACGGAAATCTTGTAAGAATCTACTTGGAAAAGCTAACGGCAAAAAGAGTGATCCTCCGAACGTCTGGCGAATCGTACGTTAATGTTAACGACGCCAATCTCGCTTTTCTCAGAATGACATTCAACCATTTTCCTACATCTCTGATTAATAATAGAGGGCACACCAACAATTTTCTTGATCGTTGCCTGAAATCAGAAACGATAACAGCTCCGTCGTAAATATCAGCCTCGACTGTCAAGTATCGATATGACATCAACAACGTGGCATTACTCGCGAATGTTATGTTGCACGTTGGCACATACATAATCATATCTTTGTGACTATGTCGCGGGGAAAAAGAATACAGTTAAATCGTCCGATTGCCCGGAATATACTTGTCGCTACAAAATGATTCTTGTGATGTATGAACCAGATGCAACGACGATACCCAAGGATTGTCTCGGGGGTCGTCCGATGTCCCGACAAAATTACAAAGGATTAACTTTAACTGCCGTCTTTCTGTATGACTCCACCGCAAGTACGAGAAATAGAAAGCGGGATATTCTCGCGACCAATATCTTCCTCTGCTACGTTGACAATTAATGTAAATGGATATCTTTTCAACCTTACGGTGTAAAAATGAATAAATAAAT